GATGAGAAAATGCATTAAAGATAAATGATGCCAAAAGTTGTTTCCAGAATTATTTTGTAAAGTTTCCAGTACTCTTGAAATAGAAATGAATAGTTGCTTACACTATTAAGAAAGTAGCCACACAATTGCCCCTCAAGTAGATTGACAGACTTTGAATTCCTTTTGACTTCCTTGTACATGCTTTTGAACTTTATTTATCTTACTAGAAGAATATTTGGTGAAGATTCCCATCAAAGCATGGTTTTCTATTTTATGTACTCTAATCTTCTACAACAAGATAAATTTAGGAATATATCCAGGATTCTGAAACAATGGACTGTTAGAATGTATACTATACTGTTTTCAGCAGCTTCTACATCTTTGTAACTGAGTTCCATATAGAAATAGAGCCAAATGTCCTCAGGGTAATATAACTTTGCAATAGTTGCTGTGCTCTTGTCAGCGCTTCATTTTCAGTTCAGTTTTTTAAAAATATCTGAGACATGGAATAAAAACAGAGCATTTAATCTGCTCTCAAACCATATTCTGAATATTCTATTTATTTGATTTAGGGATTTTGAGAAATGCAAGAAAACTGAATTTTTGCTTTTAAACTTGGTGATGAAGGAGCATGTTAAGTCAGGTTGAGATGTTCTGGGTTACTATGTTTTGCAAGATCAGCCATGACTATTATGTGATATCAGTTCTATGAGCAGAATCCAACAATTTTGCAGTCGAGGAAGAATTGCTGTTGGCATCTGCCTTATGGTATCATGGCTATTTGCAATATCGATAGTTATACAATGCTATTTTTAGTGAAAATAATGATAATATAAGAAATAATGTGTTATAATAACATATAGCTGATGCTGAACCAGACCCAATTCTTCAAAATAATAGCATTCATCACTTGTTCAGTCTTTATGTCTCTCCTTTCACTTATAATTGCATTATTTTGCAAAGTACTTAATTTAGAATGGTACAAATTCATTACACTGAACATATATAATAGTTCTGCTGCTAATATGTTTTTCTTTTTCTCAGTCCTGTTAAATTAATTCTAATTCAGTCTCATATCAAATCTTTTTATTTCACTTATCTTGCCTTCGTTTATTGTATATTGTGTTGCATGGGACAAGGGAAAAGAATGAATCATAATTTCTTTTTCCACTTCAGTTTTATAAAACAGTTGATTTGTGGTATTAAAGACTCCACAACTTTTATCCAGTTAAGTCTAATTCAATTTCATGTTGTATTAGTTTGGTTATACTGTATATCCTAAGAATAAATTTAATCATAGAAATAACTTTCTATGTTCATTATTCATATATCTTTAAACTATAATGGAAAGATGAAACTGATATTTAAATTGAGAATTAAAATAAGTTTAAGTACATATAATATATTTGAAATGTAAGCATTAAAATAATATTCAAAACACATACCTTTTCCATTTATCTACCGGACAAGCTGCAATCATTTCAGAATAATCAGTTGTAGAAAATGAAGTTAAAGTACGCAGTATAAAATTTGTTCAGCCTAGCTTTAGGGAAAAAATCCTAAATTGTGTCTCCAATCCAAATTATCCTTATTAAATAGATTTAATAGTATATATTTTCTGCTAGAAGAAATTGTAATATGCACTCTCACTTTGCAGTGAGTAATAAATGTTTTGCGGGCATTATAATGTCCCAAGAGGAAAATGACATTAAAATTTTCATATAATTGCTTATCCCTTTAGTATGCAGTAAAGTAACTAATCAACTAACTAAAACTCTGAATTATTTTCATGTTGTGTCTTCTTGATTTGCTATGCTGGCTCCTATCCACATAAATACATTCAGGATTAGATTTTCAGTTGGAATAGTGTAGCTAAGGACATTTCTGGTGCTTAGAAAGGATTGTCTATTGCAGTGATGGCAAAACTTTTAGAGATTGAGTGCCCAAACTGCAACCCAAAACCCACTTATTTAGCACCGGGTGCTGGATGGGCATGGCCCATTGGGTGAGCATGGCTGTGGTGATCATGGCAGACAGAATGGGTGTGGCCAAGGTGGGCATGGTCACCTCAATGATACTTGTGGGGAGGGATGCCTGTGGGGGCCAGCAGGGTTGGGGGAGATCCAGGGGCAGTGGAAAGGATGCTTTTCCTGCAGGGTGAGGGAAGGCGAGGCAGGCGAGGGTGCCATTGTTGCAGGGCAAGGTGAGGAAGGGGCTGGGGCAGCTGCTGCCTGACACCATTGCCCCCCACACAGATGCCAGTGAGGGCATGGGGGGCCAACAGTGTCCATCAGCAGCCACAACCTGCCAGCCCCTCGACTGGCACAGCCCGCCAGCAGTTCAGAGAAGCTGCCTCTGAGCTGGATGGCCAGCTGACAGCTGAGGTGGCTATGCAGTAGGAAAAGGAGAGCATGCGAGGCCAGGAGGAATGGGATGGGGGAAGGGAAACCAGCTGTGCTGGGATGTATCCGGCTATGTGGGACCTCAGCAAGTAAGTGGGTGGTGGATTGAAAAGGAATGGTTGCCATCTCCGGGGCATGGTGTGTGTGCCCACCGAGAGGGCTCTAAGTGCCACCTCTGGCACGCGCGCCATAGGTTTGCCACCACTGGTCTATTGTAATAGAATATAGAAATTCTTATATGATGCTTACTATTTATTGATTAGGGTGCAGAAATAATAGCAGGTGCCATCACTAAAAGTCTCAAATTATGATGATATGACTCTTCAGATAAACTAAACTAAAGAAATTTGGTGAATTAATTTGAAACCAGAATACATTATCTATGTTCAACTGATTTGGCTCAATGTGGAGGCCTTCTATCTGTTTATGTTTTTTATATCCCATGTGCTACCCTTTTACAAAGACTGCCTTATTCTCCAAGGAGCTTTTTGAATTTGGTAAAGCACTTCAAAACAACAGCAAACAAAACCCAACCATAAAAAATGGTACACAGAAAATGGGCAAGAAGAAAATGAACTACAATATTTAACGGCACCAGAACAGTATTCAAGAAACATCTATTTGGGTAGATAATGAGTTTTTTCTTGGTTTTATTCCAGCTGAGTAAAAAGTCCCACTATCAATTTCCTTTCTCTTAATATAATAAAACATATTTTAGTGTAATAATTTATTCATTCTGTAATGAGGGGAATTGACCCATGGTGAGTTGGCTGCAATGAGTTAGTGGTGGAAAGTTGAACATGGCAAGTTGGCCATGGTAAGTTGTCCCATAGCAAGTTGGCTGCAGCAAATTGGCCATGGCAAATTGAATGTGGCAAGTTGGCCATGGTGAGTTGTTTCATGGTGAGTTGGCTGCAGCGAGTTGGTCTCTATAACAAGAATCATTTCTGACAGATTTTATTTGAAAGTGAAAGCTTTTGTGAGTTTATGCATAGATGCTTCTCATGAAGTGATCTATGGATCACAAAATCCTATGCCTATTAGTAAGATTTTTTAGCTGAAAAAAGAAGCTGCAGGACACTTTGTGATTCTGAACTACGACAGATAGATGTAGCTCTCCTTTCCTATATAGTCACAGGAACTGAAGATTTGTTAATTTCAACTAGATTTGACATTAAGGGAATACAAGAAGCAACTCTGTTCAGGTAATATTGAATTACATGCTGAATTGTTCCAGAGTTGCTTTTTCAAAATTAACTGGACTTCCTTTGTTTTTCCTTGAAGAAGTTTAGCTTCTCATCTAAGAAATTTCTTCAGTTCAAACTGAAGAACTTCTTGAATGATAAGCAAAATGTCTTCAAGGAAAAACAAAGAAACTCCAGTTGCCTTTCAAAAAAGTACCTTTGGGACAACCATGACCTGGATGACTGAGAATCTCCATAGATGCACACCAAGTTCTAAACTGGCCTTGACCACGGTCATAAAGATTTGATAGAGAGTTCTTCTAAAATATAAGATCGAATCAAAAGTACATACTGCATATATTCTGAATATGTAATATATATCTAATATTCTATTTCTCCAACAGGTGAGATGTAAGATACAGTGAATTTAATAAAACTATTTGTTTTGGGGGAAAACAAAAGCCTAAATATACTGATTTTAAAGTTTGAGGAAAAGTATCATCATTCTAATTGATAATTTTTCTCAAGCAAAATAAGAAAAACCTCTCAAACTTAAAACAACAAACTTTATTGATTTTTCATCTTAGCATATCAAAAAAGAAACAGTAAAAGAAGTGCAGAGATATTAAACCAATACAGAAAACATTTCAATCTTGTTTTATGGGTATGACATTTTTCTTTTGTCATACCCATAGGACAGAAAGGAATGTATATATAAATCCTTTATCTCAATGGAAGAAGTTAATGCATAGCTAATAGCGTTCTGTAAGAGAAGGTAAGTTACCATAGGTCCTAGCTCCACAAATGAGCACACATTCCTTTAAACAGTACCCCAGCAGAACATTGTAAAATCCTATATGCAGGAAAAGGTATCCAGAATCTCAAAATATTAAATATAGAGAGCTCAAACAATAGGCATTAAATATACAATTATCTATTTCATTCATCAAGGTTATATAAAAATTCACTTGTTGCAAACCCTACTTAAAATCAGTTTCTAAACACATTTTAATAGCTTTCTTCACATCTTTATTTTTCAGGCTGTATGTAATGAGGTTAAACATGGGGCTGAGAACACTGTGCTGGATTGACACAAACTTGTCCATTGTGTCTGAGTAGCCAGAGGTGTCAGAGGCAGATGTCATATATCAGATGATTGCAGTCCCACAAACCAAGGGGACCACCAGGAGATGAGAAGCACATGTAAAGAATGCCTTCTGCTTTCCTTCTGCAGAATTTATCTTGAGAATGGAGCCAAAAATATGAACATAGGAAGTTATAATTAAAAGAAGGCCAGCTAATTCTAGTGCTATGCTAAAGACAAAATGACCATTCATTGGGAAAAGTACTAGTGCAAGACAGCTGTAATAGCAAAGGTAACTCACAACTGAAATGGTTAATGTTACTAGGACCACAGAAGTTTAGTCCAGTTAGAAAAAGAGTATTAATACAGGAATCCAAGAAACCTGACAGCCATGTAGCCAGTATCGTAGGGTCTCTGAATCTTTAAAAGAACTTCTTGGCTCAGTTGGCCACTACTCTCAAGGTACTATGATTGCTTATTCCTACAAAGATCAGAATTATGCAAGCCATAATATTCCCGTATGATATCTGAATATAAAGAGTATAGATATTTTTAAACTCTGGTATTTGAGAAGAATACCATAGGTGGCCTAGGAAACAAATATGTGGATCATTGAACAAATCAACATATTTTAAATACATTCCACAAAGACATTTCTTGAGTAGTCTATAAAGCTGGGAAAAATAGAAGAAAATAGAAGAGCATGATGGACTCAATTAAAGTAGTGATGAGTACAAAGTTGGAAGATCTGAAGGACACTGTTGGAGACAGTCTCACCTGGAGAAATCTATGTGGTTTCTGGGAGCTGACACTGATTTGATGACATATAATTGATCAATCAGTTGCTGTAAACTAGTACTAGAAAATCTTAATTTTACCCATTTTTGTTTCTTTTTCTTAGGTAATCTCTAATTGATTTTACTTACTCTATGCAGACTCTTTACAATATTTCTTATCTTAAAGGGGATTAGTATTTGGATCCATAGGATTATGTGGACCCAATTTCCCTATACTGCATTATTACTCTATTACCATGGACAATCTGAAGGAGGTAGTGCGAGACAGAGAGGCATGGAGAGTGCTGATCCACAGAGTGGTTGATGGTTTTACATGACTGAATGGCTGACATTGATGACTATGTTTACCCAGTAGGAAGATTTTCCTCTAAAAATAACTGTATTATTGCCATCCTGTATTCCTTAGACTCCTCCTTCTTCTGCTATTTCTCATGGGGCAAGGAAAAAATGTGAATCCAAATATTTCACAGGCAATAAATTATGATAAAGACAAAGCAAGGCAAGAGATTAAAGCAAAAACTGGCTGTGGTATTTCCAGTGGTTATTAGTCTACTAGATGTAATACCAAAAAAGTCTTAGACAGCACTTAGAAAATCTGCACATATACAGAATTTCCACTGCTTGGCTCTGCACATATATTCTGCTAATACAATACAATACAATATCTTGTTCTTGGGAAGAACTTGCTAAATACAGTATGAAGGCCAGCACTAGGTAAAGAACTGTCAGCTGTGATTTCACATTGTTGACAACAAATAATAAACATCTTGCTGAGTGTGCAACCATCACATCTACCAATAATAAAACAATATCTGCCTATCCTAGATCATTAGGATTCAATAGGTGTATCACAATTTCAAATCAGTTTAAATTATCAAGCTGACTGTGTACAAACTGGAATTTCACATTGTTGTTTATATAGTCATAATAAAGAGTAGCAATTCTATACAGCCAAACTCACTGTTGTCTATAATACAGACAACAGACGCAGAGTGCATATTGATAAGTATTACTAATGTTTTGTTGTTTGGTAAAAGAAATTGAACTTAGTAAATTCTTCCCCCAAGATTTACTGGAAAAGATAGATAACAAAGTTGATCATGAGTCCATTCTTAAAGTACATTATTTTAAACTTTTCATTGTCCTTAGCTTATAGAAATGAAGTTAGAATGAATTTAATAAATGTACTAAATTCATAAATGTTTTGAAAAACATCTTTGGTATGGTCATTAATAATTTTGGTTTGAGATGGAACTATACAATATTACACATATTTACTAATCATTTATTTTAATTTTGCCTCTTGGGTTTTAATCCAGGTTAGTGCTTGTGAGTTTCAACAGTAAATAAATGGAAAATTTTCTATAGAATTGATCAATTATATCAATATACGCACTGGAGTACGAAAGGTAAGCATGAATTAATTTAGCTGAAATAATCTCATTTTTATGTCCGCATTTCTGTCAGAATGATAATAAGATCATTACTTTAATTCTACAGTATTACTATCTCTTCACTGTCTGGTATACCAGTAGATAGTGTGAGCAGGTAATGGTTGTTCCCTTCCAATAAATGTATTGGAATTTAGGGTCATGCTTGTTGGAAATAGTAGATTAAAATAAAATCTGTTTCTGCAATTTGTTCAGGAAAATAGATTTGAGATTTTTAAGTCAGGCTTTTTTGTGGAAAAAGATACAGTATAATTTAATTAGGACACTTGTTACCCTTTTCACAGGTTCATCATCTAATTCCATGCTTTAAAAAAATTATCATCATCCTTATTTTATTTAATTTACAAATTGTTGCTTAGTGGTAAAAAGCAAACTGTGCCTGCATCATTGTAAAAGACACTAATGCAGATATGAATACCAGGGCATCTCTAAGCTGTACATTAGGTGAAGAAGGTATGCAAAGTTTTAGCCACACACTGCTGAGGTATGTTTTGTTTGTGTTTGCTTATGTGTGTGCTTGCTATTGAGTTACTCTAATTTTCCTTTGATATTTTAATTTGATGGTAAATTGATATTTCTTCTGTAACATCCTTTATGTTATCATTTTGGGTCATATATTTCAGTCAAAAGTCAAAGGGTCACAGACTTATTTTTGATTGATTGTAGCTCTGTTGTTACTTCAGATTAAATTATTTCTGGATATATAGGTAGATATAGATATATAATGCTAAATGTCTTTTTAAGTGTATCTGTGTACTTGTTAAAATAATAATGATAATTATTAACAATGGTGATGACACATTTTTAATAATAATAATAATAGATGCATTTTATTTTAAATAATATTAGATAGATAGATAGATAGATAGATAGATAGATAGATAGATAGATAGATAGATAGATAGATAGATAGATATACACTGTGCAAATATAATTTGGAGAAATATAAAACTATTGATGATGATTTTGAAAGTGTCCACAATATTATTACCATAAGCTAAAATAAATTGAATATTTGCATAACTGTACTTCAGGAGCATTTCAATAGATGTTTATTAGAGTATCTGGGAATAAATAATAAAATGGTTTCATTATTTTTTATTTAGCAACAACCAATAAGGCATAAAGATTAAGATGCTAAACTAGGATTGAGGAGACCCAAGTTCTAAACTTGTCTTAGGCAGAGAAGCAGATCACTCCCTCTCAACTCTAGTTAGAATCAGACCTCATGATAAGTTGACTAAGGAAAAAAAAAGTTGTGTTTTGCATTTATAGTTTTTCTTGTATGAAATTGGTGAGCATGCAAAAGAAGCAGAACCAAGGGACAAAAAAGTGTGGTGGGTTATTTTTTGATACAGGATAACTTTGGTAATTCAATACACTGCAATGTGTGGACTAGATGTGTAAAATAGTTTCCTCTCTCTGCTGTCTAAACAAGGAAGCAAACATATTCACTTTTCATAATGCAGAATAAAGCTAGCATTTTTTGTCACAGTCAGTAAATATGAGAGGCTAGATTACACTTTCCACTAATATCCAATAAGCAAAGAAAAAGTTATTCTTCAGGTGTGTGATGTTGAGCATTTTTCAGATTTATCTTCTGGTTATGTGGTAGAAGCTATTTGGCCTTGGCAATGTTTCTTGTCTTCCAATGAGTATGCCTTAGAAAAAATAAAACAAAACAAAAAAGCATTTGGCATCATAACACTGTTGTCTTTCTTATTTCATTATAGAGCAGAAATAAGCAAATTGTGAAACAATGATAAATGAAACTGTTCCGAATGAATTCCTCATATTGGGCTTCTCTGGTCTTCAAGAGTTGCAGCTGCTACTCTTCTTTATCATTCTTGCTACATACATTTGTATTCTGTTAGGGAACATCTCCATTCTCACTATTGTTTGTCTGGATCCACGATTTCATACTCCCATGTACTTCTTCCTAGGAAATCTCTCTTTTCTGGATATCTGTTATACCACCACAGATGGTGGTATAACAGATAACAGTCCCTCAGATACTTGTGCATCTCATGGCACAGAAGAAGAGTATCACTCATGCTGGATGTGTAACTCAGCTCTATTTTTTTGTCTCCCTTGTGGGAACTGAATGCATCCTTCTAGCTGCAATGGCCTATGATCGCTTTGCAGCCATCTGCCACCCTTTAAAGTATACTTTAATTATGAAGAGGCCATTTTGTGTGCAGTTAGCTGGTGCCTGCTGGGTAGGTGGTTTTCTTAATTCAGCTCTTCATACTTACTTTACATTCCATCTCTCATTCTGTGGAGCTAATGAGATCAATTATTTTTTTTGTGATATTCCACCACTTCTATTGCTTTCATGTGGAGACACAGGTTTAAATGAAATCATCTTGCTTGTCGCTGGGGTATTTATAGGATGGATTCCATTTGTCTGCATTGTCCTATCTTACATTTATATCATCTCCACAATCATGAAGATACAATCCAATGAAAGGAGGATCAAAGCTTTTTCCACCTGCACCTCACACCTGACTATTGTTATCTTATATTATGGAAGTGCCATTTTCACCTATGTCCGACCAATATCAACTTATGCATTGGAGAAAGATCGACTCATTTCTGTCCTTTATAGCATTGTCACTCCCATGCTAAATCCTTTAATCTATACATTAAGAAACAAGGATATTAAAAATTGCCTGAAAAAGATATTTCTGAAAGTATTACATTTGAGATGAAAGCAGAATTGTAAATTAATATTTTATTTATTTCTGGAAAATTTAGAGTTCATCCTGTCTATCACCATGGATCAAAGTGACTAGCAAATGCTCTGTGTATCTATATTATCTTTTTTTAATTGTTAATGCATGCTGTTATTTTAAATGTCAATTCTAATTAAGAGTCTTGTTTGATGTACGTTTTTGGAATTCAAATGCTTATTCTTAGTTCATCAGTAATTATCTTCCTTGTATAGCAGGAGGCTCCAGATAGTACACATGGATTTTTCCTTTTTTCCATTGATAAGTAATAACCAAGATTGTTTGTCAATCAAAATTTAGTTGAATCCAAGCTTGATCCATTTAAATCATTAGTAAGTATATTAGAACAATGTATTGTTGCTTCATTTTAGAGAATAACATATATAAATATTTGTATTTACAATTATTACAATGCTTGCCTATAAGGTAATACAAAAACATGAGATAAAATAATATTCAAAAATATTGTAAACATTTGCCCCCTTACCCACCATTAAGTCTAACTAATCTTATATTTCCACTTTAGTAGTAGTTAAGAAGCCATTGATATATTAATTTAGATCAGCGGTTCTCAATCTGTGGGTCGCGACCCCATTTGGGGTCAAACGACCATTTCACGGGGTCACCAAACAACGCAGTCCGCCATTTTTTTCTCCTTTTCCTTAACTGTGCTACTCCCTCTTATTCTATTGGCTTTTGAAAGCCAATAGAATAGACTCTATTCAAGAGACTCTATTCTATTGGCGTTCGAAAGCCAATAGAATCTATTGGCGTTCGAAAGCCAATAGAATAGACTCTCTTAAATAGAGTCTAATTCTATTGGCTTTCAAAAGCCAATAGGAATTGTCCAGGCTGTCTCTGCCCTGCTGAGCCCGCCAAAAGTCCCAGTCTGCAAATGGTGCTGCAAGTTGTCTGCAGCTAAGGCGAGCTTTCTGGGTGTTTCCACCCCTCCCTGCTGAGCAACTACTAAATGTAAGTAAAAGAGAGCCAGGGGTGGGAGGTGGGTTCCTTACCTCCCTTGGGCTGGGCCAGCTGGTGGCCCAGCCAGTGATCAGCCTGTGCTGTTGCTGCCGCTTGCCAGCTACACCTCGGCCGGCGCAGGGGCCAGCACCATGCATGTGCGGCACTCCCGGGCCGAGGCGGTTGCTGGGCGACAACCTGCGTGCACCCTCGGCCTGCACAGCGTGCGCTCCAGCTTCAGGAGAGGAAGCGGAGCGTGCGTGCCTCCTCCTGCCCCGCCCGCAGGGAAATACAGGTAGTCCTCGACTTATGACCAAATGGTTGAGGGTCGTGGCATTAGGAAGGTTGAGAACCACTGATTTAGATGTTTATTTCTCTGCTTGATTTAATCTTTAAGTACTTTTTATGACTTTAGTTTTTCACATCATTGTAGGGGATACTAGACTGAAACATAAAATTACTATAATAAGGCTTTCCAGGTAACCTTTCTTTTGGTATGTGTACAGTTCTTTTGTGGCACAACTTTACTTAGAATATTTTTTTTTTTAATTTGGGTCCTGATTTTCAGCACAACATATTTTGTTAGGGATCTATGACCTTGTTTTTATTGTAAGTCAGTGCAAAACAAAGTAAAGAAGAAGGAAAATAAAGGAGAATAAAGCATTTAGATTGCCAAGAATGCACTTGCTTTGTTGCCAGTTATTGTCCTAACCAAATCAGATACAACCATATTTAAATAAGATTAGTGATGTTTCTATACATTTGATTTATACATCTATAATTGAATAATTCATTTAACTGTACATGTATAAAAACTTGTAAGGAATGTACTCTGTGTATTTGATATTGCCTACTAGTGATCAGGACTCTAGAAAATATGGCCTTTCAATATATTTTTTTTTAAAAAAATTGAAACTATGACAGAAGATAGAGAATTCTGCTTTATAAGCTTCCCCATGACCAATTATTAGTTCTTGAATCTGCATCTGGGATAAATTATTTTAGATTTGGATATTTGAATCATACTTGGGTGGAGATAAATAAATGTAATATTCAGAATTATAAAATTAGAATTTTATCCTAAGTATCATGAGAGCATTTTTTCCCCTTATTATCTTTAGTCCTGACAATCAAGTGGTATATATAGTTAAGATTATATTAAAGTAGTTAAGGCCAAGACATACTAACTCCTTAGAAATTAGTATAAATTCTGAGGAAAGACATTCAAATAATGATTTAGTAAAGTGCTATGTCATGAACAGATTAAAGACAGCCAGGGTTGAGTAAATTGGTCTAAATAAATATCTGCTCATGCAAATCTTATATTTTTTTTTTCAAAGTTGATACTATATTGTACATTCAGAAATGTATACCTAAAATGCTCTTTTGTCTTCAGGTTTGTGTCATGGCTGGATGGGACACACATTTTGCTCTTCTAGGGGTCCTAAAAGAATCATAAAATCACCCCGAAGAAGTGATGAAGAGGAGGGGTGCCTTGTCGATCACAGAAAGATGGTGGTCTTTTGGTTTGATCCAAGGAAATCCCTCTAAACCAGCAGGGGAAAGACCGGCTACATTTTTGTAACTGGCCATTAGCTGCTGACCACTACTTAATACATCATAAACAGCATGTCTGGAACTGATTGAGAATATTGATCCTTTTTTTACTATTTTACAACTGAATTTCCTGGGAAAGGTTCCCAAGAAGTGAAAAACCTCTGAATGTAAACAGAAGTGGCATTTTAATTTTATGGGGGACAGAAACATACAATATTGAAGTGGAAGTAATATAAAGCTACAGTTTTGATAAATTTGAGAACTGAGATAACTGTTAAGATTTTCTCTTTGAAAAAAGAAAAAAAAACATTGAGGCGAAATATAAGAAATCAATCTTTTGTTTTAAGAGTGGAAAATGGACTTTGAATGATATTTAGTGGTGGATTTGTGTATAGTACTATAATTTGCTTTGCTTGGTGATTCCTACCCTTGGAAAACAGCTAGCAATAAAGGAAAATATTTTGACATATTTATCATCCTGACCTTCTTGGATTATAAATACCTACTGAGCTTGGACTTTTAACTTCAAGAGCTACTGGGAGAAAAAAATGACCTTGGACTATGCCTGGCTGGGAGACCTTTGAGCTGTTTTCAAAGAGGTTGAACATTTTGAACAGTTTATATTGTGGATTACAACCTTGCCTGATTGACAATTTTTGGAATACTTGAGACAAGGGATTACTATAAAATATTGTCTTCAGAACTGAATCTATACTTTGGAATATATTGGATTAAAAAGGATACATACAGATTTAAAAAACAGAAGACTTGACCTTCTCAAGGGGGCATTATATGTTTAAATACTTTTTTGAATAAGACTAAAAGAATGGAAGATTTTTAGATATAATTAGACTTTTACATTGAAAGATATGATTTAGAATTAAGATAGCATTTTTTCTTTTTTTGATATGGGAAATATGAGGATAAGAGAAGAATTGATTTGAATAAAACTTTCAGCTATATAAATGTAATTAATATTGAGGAAATCATAATTAATAAAGATATTTCAAATATTGATGGGAAATCAAACTTTAACAAGAGTATGAAAAACAGGATATTGATTAATGAATTGACATTATTGACTTATGAATTGATATCATTGTTATTTGTATGATATTAGTAAAATACAATGAAGATGCTTATATCTAACTTTGTATATATTAACAGTAGCAAAAATTGTAATGGTGTAAATGGAGAAGAAAAGAGGATCAGGGAAAAAATACTGGATTGTGTAGTATTGAACAGATTTACATTAAAAAAGTTAATGTTAAATATTTGAAGCCAAACAACATGTTGTTTACTAAGCACTAAAGACTGTAATTTTAAAAAAATAATGAAACTTTTATAAAATAAATAAATAAATAAAATGCTCCTTTGTATAGCTTATTTAGACATTAAAATGGATTCAGTGACATACAGAACCAAAATGTTCCCTGTTCTTTGTAATACTAAAATGGTATTTTAGCATAATACTCATGCCCACATCAGGCATGAATTGAATATTCATCATCAGCGGAGATTAAAATGGCAACAGGTATTTCTAAGGAAAAATAATGACTTTTAGAAATCCATTTTGGCTAGAATATTATATATAGAATATATATTATAGAATATAATATTATCCCAGTCCCAAATATTAATATCAGTTTATTTTTAAATAGAATATGATACATTTTGCTCAGAATTAAAGCAAACAAAACCTAATTAACAGGTGCATATACAAGTTTAGTATATTATTATTAAGTTATTATTATATAAAGGAAAGAGAATCACTGTGGACTGGCAAGAAGTATAAAATCCTGGAAAGGTTAACCCAACCCACATAGCTGACTGCACATTAATTTAGTATTTAACCTTCAAGCAGAGTAGACACATTCTGAGTAATGAGATGTTCCCATCAATCATTTGTCATGCTTAGATATTTTCTTCATGACTATGGGGTGAATTGTAGCCACCAGCCTCCATAGGAAGGATGGGTCAGTTTAAATGGCCTGCCCCAGGATTTTGGTGGATCTGGAATATTTTTACAATGTGTTTGGGAATTTCCCAGTACTCTTGGGGATAGAGCTGCTGAATACTTTGTTAAGCACTTGCGGAGGGGGCAGAACAGAGGAGGTTTGAATGCTATGTAGGGTTGTTCTGAATAGTCTCTTCCTGCCTTGCCAAATGTGGGTGGGTCCTTGGGTTTCCTAGAAGTTTCAAGAGATGAAGCAGGTGAAGAAATACTTACAATGAAGCTCATAGAATACAGTATGAGTAATATGACCAGTCTCATGCATAAAACAGAATCATTTCTTTGTCTTTATTTCATCTGCAAAATGTCATCCAATTAATGTTTTTAGAATGTCTTAGTCCCTACTTGAACTACTTCTACATATTAGAAGTTTTGTGTCTTCATCTAAGCAGTCATGAGAGACTTTAGAGTTCAAAATTAGCTCTTGGAATTGAAGTAACATGATAAATTACTATTGTTTAACAATCATTTGAAATTATGATAGACCTTAATGTAAAATGTTGGCCCCCAACTTCATGGTCATATAACAGCTTTTCAGATGTTTGGTAACCAATCCATTTTTAAAAGTGGTTGCAGCATCCTGTAAACATGATTTGTGAAGTTTTTGCTGGTTTTTTTTTTTTTTAGTATTTTTGCCTGTTTTAACCATAGAATTCACTCAATGATCATAGTGATTTGCTTTATGACCCCACAAACATATTGTAAAATCACATCCAGTCACAAAGGTGCCTTGACCTATTACCATAAAACCTGTTTACATAATAAAAGTAAAGGACTATTTGTATTCCATAATTCTGTAAGGCAAAAGCTAAGAGAAAATATATCCACTTTAAATAAATAAATGGCATACATTTCTTCAGACATTACATCAGGACAATGCAGCAAAAGATTTCTATTTCTTTTTCTTTTTTGCAAGGGGGGAGAGAAGCAGAGAAAATGCAGAGGGAGGTATCTTAAAAGTTTAATAAACATTTTAATAAACTAAGGCCAAATATTTCTGCTGTCATAATTCTTTTCTGTCGTCTACCACCTTCCCCCAAGCTACAAGAATAGGATTTAATGATATAGACTTTCTTTCAAATACATATTGCATTCATTAATCTACACAATGCCAATATTGGAGTAAGCTTAAGGATGAAGATAAATAAAACAATGTAAATATAAAATAATAATTGTAATTAAAAGAAATTTTAAGAATAAAAGCTTTATTAAATAGATGGCTTAGCTAAAAGCTAAGAGTCTGTAATATTCAGCAGACCACAATTAACCTAGATTCAACTGCTTTTAGTCACTGCCTTATTTCATAAGCAGCTGCACAGAACAAGAAAGCTATTACACTGATTAATTCTTCTCACTGTCAGGAAATTTCTCCTTAGTTCCAGCTTGGATCTTTCTTTAATAAGCTTTACACATTGCGTCTTGTCCTGCTTTCAGGTGCTGTAGAAAATAAATCAACCCCCTCTTTCCTGTGATAGTCCTTCAAGTATTGGCCGGCAGCTATCACGTCTCCCCTAACTCTTCTCTTTGATAGGCTAAATATAACACAAAAACAGAGTTGGAAGAAACTTTGAAGATCTTCTAGTCTAATCCCCTGCTCAAGCAGTAGATCTAGGAAACCCTGTTCAGGCAAGGAACTCTTCATCAAAGCAATCTCAAAATTTAGTAAGTTCAAGGGCCTTTTTGAAGTAACTTTATATAAAGCTTCTTTAGAGCATTTTTTACATCTTTGTTTTTCAGACTGTATATAATGGGGTTTAACATAGGGGTTAAGACACTGTGCTGGATTGACATTGGCTTGTCCATGGTGTCTGAGTAGCCAGAGGCAGGATTCGGGTATCAAATGAAAGCAGTCCTACACAATAAGAAAACTACTGTGAGGTGGGATGCACACGTGGAAAATGCCTTCTGCCTTCATTCTGCAGAATTTATGTTGAGAATGGAGTCAACAATATGAATATAGGAAGCTATAAATACAAAAAGGGCAGCAAACCCTAATGGCATGCTACAGATAAAAATGACTATTTCATTGGCAAAAGTACTAGAGCAAAATAATTGCAATAGCAGAAGTAATTCACAGCTGAAATGGATAATGTTACTGGGACCACAGAAGTGTAAGTCAGTTTAAAAAAGAGTATTCACATAGGCATCCAGGAAATCTGACAGCCATACAAACAGTACCATTTGGATGTAAAAACAGTGGTTGATAATGGTGCTGTATTGCATATAGCAGCATAACAATCATACACCATTGCTGAAAGTAAGATTTCTGATCCAATTCTGAAAATAAAAATAAAAAAAAGACTTGAACTATGTAGTCACAGAGAGGATTATCTTTTTGGTAACCAGGAGATTCTGTAGCATTTTGGAAACTCTTACAGAAGAATAGCAGATGTCAAGGAAAAATAAGTTAATGAAAAAGAAATACATTGGAATGGTAGTTGGGGGTTAGCCCTTATTACCAATATGATGACCATATTTCCTACTAAGGTTAAAGTAGATTGATAAAAAAAAACACGAACAATGTTTTTTTGGGTGATCCAGTGGAATGTTGGATCACAAGAGAATCCCAAGAGAAGAAATTCAGCCTCAACAGTTTTGTTTTCCATAGTACATTTCTAAATGACATTAATTCATTGATTATGTGACATCAAGTTGATGCCAAGTACTAGCAATCACATAGACTGATTTTGTCCATGAATCTTTGGTTCCAACTTGATCTTTTAGGATTTCCAACTGTAGCCCCACAATACTGATCTATAAGGAGAAAGCCTCGGAAATAACATAACCTTCCATTCATTTATTGGTTTTTCATGTAACATTTTCATGCTTTTTCCATGAAAAACTGACAAGCTCTAACATCAGATTAAACAACAAGTTTCCACTGTTGTAATCTGGAGGCCAGTGGCTTTGCCTTACTCTTAGTCAATTCAAAATCCCTGACCAGGTCATTTAGTTCACTCTGAAATTAGATATAGTTCAGGGGGAGCATTCAGTGGGCTAAAGTTTAGGTCCATTGACATAGATGCCCTGGATTAGCTGCATCCTGCTCATCATTTTAATCATTATCTGGGTCTAGGAGGAGGATTCTGGTGGATCTGGAATTGGCAAGTCTTCACCATAAGGGGTACAGGATGCAGTACAGATTGAATGTTTAGATATTCCATGGTCCACTTCTTATTTCTTGAGATCCCTTTTTCAACTGGGGGAACCATGTGAAAAGAGCAGTTGCTACAATGATTGGTGGGTTCCCTCCACACCATTGGGACTGCAAAAGGCATCGACTTTTTTTTTCTTGTTTAGCCAATGACGCAGATAAGTTGCACATGTAATGCAACAATAATGAGAGGTCCAACTCTTGTCCTGGTCCCCTATTTTGCATCCAAAATATATGTGGTATGCCTTTTTAACCACTGCCATCATACTTCACTTTTGAGATGCAAATGTAACCTTGCCACAAATGTAGCAGAGGTTATCTGCACTGTTTACCCAGTTTTGTGGCACATTGGCTTCCAAGGAAAAATATCACACAACTGTTCCTTGGAAATAGGCAATAACACTTTTACAAGCCATCAGATGTAACTGTATGATGTGTAGAACTGGCCAAGGCAAATGTACCTTGGAATAAAAGAACAATAAATTACAGTTAGGTAATAATTTTTAGTCTCAAAGTGAAGATAAATTTATACACTTCCATGTGGTACCATTTAGATTGTTCTACCGTACTTTGTTGAGAGGTTACGAGGCATCATGATCATTGTACACCTCCCTCTCTTGTAGGCAAATATACTTGCCTGTGTATAAATCTTTATTGTGAAATATCTTGAAAACTTTAGCCAACCAACATTTTTATCACCTGTTTTCTAATTCACCTAATCAAAATATGTAAAAATTAACACATTTTATCTCGGAGATTGATAATTTCCCAAAATTTGTAGACCAATGTAATCATTGTAATTAAGTCCATCCATCTTGGCTCAATGGGATGGTAATCTGGCAAAATATCAATTGATTCTCTAAACATGAATTATGTATTATAATTATTCATTTTAAAATGATAGAGATAGATACATGAAATAGACACACAAACACACACAAAGAGAGAGAGAGAGATCTTCATTTCAAAACACTCAGATCTTTCCTTAATCATATTTTTCATTTTCTGCAATTTGAATCACAATTTTCAATTAAAAATATTCCACAGTAGCATTAAGATATGTCATTTTTAGACACAAGTTTTAAAGAATAAGTAGGAGCATTTGAGTAACTTTCTATAGGCTGGGAAACTAAGCAGATTCAGGACTTGTTTTTACTTGACTAAGAGATTGTTAGAAATCACTGAAACTATAGGATAGACCAGAAAGTCAAAAAGCATTCCAGGGGAAAGCTATGGCAAATTGCATCCATATTATTGCCTACAGAAATGCATGGATATGTCCATGAATTCAGAATCTAATCTTGATTCCAAAGAGTTTTTACTTTATGCTGCGAACAAATATAGTTTGTATGTTCTGATAATCTAAAAATACATCATTAAATGTATGCTGAAATACATTTTCATAATTTCACAAATATGAAGATTCCTGTAGAATGTAGTCAAAGAAATCAAGTGCCTGAGATTAAAAAAGAAAGATAAAATGCAAAGATATTATTGAAAGTAATAATAATAATAATAATAATAATAATAATAATAATAATAATAATAATAATAATAATGAAGAGAACTAAACAAAAAGTCTCCACCAGACTAAAATTAATTTTAAAAATAAGCATTATGCAATTACTTGGAATGAAACTGAAGCAAAGGAATTAATTTTTTTAAAAAATACAATTTTATTTTATTCAACAGATTAAAACCCAAAATCCAAAAAGAAAAAAAAAATTAAAACAGAGAGAAAACAAAACTAAACAAAAATATTGAAAAAATGTATTTATTTTATAAAAAATAAACAAAGGACAGAAACACATATTATCCCTCCTAGTTGAACACTGACAAAATTATTGCAACAGTTATAGCTTCTCCCCTTGCAGAGCAAGTCTAAAATTTATAAAATTGTACATCTATTTGCAGCCCAATTGATCTGTCAGATATTATATATGTGGAAAAAAAAGTTAACAGGTTCAACAACAGCAAAGTAAAAATTCAAAGCACTTTGTTAACTGTTTATTATTATAATTTATTCATAGAAAGTCTACACGGTTCCTTTTTTGTCACAAATCACCCCAATTATTATCTTTGAGTCCAGGGTCAAATATCCTCATTTCGCTATTAATAATGAAATATTTTCCTAGGTTTTTAATTGGGAACTTTCCCAACAATTGCACATCATTTCCAAAGTTCATTAAGAGTTTGTTGTAAATATCGCTGCAACATTTTATCAATGCAGTTTTTGATAAGCAGGTGTACAGCACATGGCCATGTTATGCATTGTTACAGGATTCTGGATCAGATATCAGAAACTTTTCATACAGTTAGGTATTAAATCATATAAGTCAAGCAGATTAGCATGCTAGCTATAATGGCTCAAGTCTGCTAACAGGTCAGATTGTAAAATTCCATTATATATATATATATAATGGAACCTTGTGTTAGGCGAGAATGCCCTTCTCTGACTCATCCAGCTCCAAAAGAAATGCAATTGGAGTTATGAAGTGTCTTAAACTATCAGCCATGAAGTCTTTACACATATGGTATTAATGAATATGGTATTCTATATCAAATGGGCTCTGCTTGAATATCACTATTATTTGGTTGAAGTCATAAACAGTAAGTGAAAAGATGAAAGTCCTAGGAGTACAATTTGTTCCAAACAGGTTGAACTCCATCCTGTAATTTAAAGGGTATGGATAAAGTTGTAGAAGAAAGTGACAACTTCAGTTAGTAATTTAATGAGGCATGCCATATCGTAGTTGCCAATCTTCATGCATTCTCTTTCTTCATGAAGGTAATCTGCCTTCATGCATTCTCTTTCTTCATGAAGGTAATCTCAAAATTCAATAAGTTCAACGACCTTTTTGAAGTCACTTTCTAAAAAGCTTCTTCAGAGCATTTTTTACATCTTTGTTTTTCAGACTGTATATAATGGGGTTTAACATGGGGGTTAGGATACTGTACTGGATTGATGCTAGCTTGTCCACGGTGTCTGAATAGCCAGAGGCAGGTTTCATGTATCTAATGAAAGCAGTCCCACAAAACAGGAAAACTACTGTGAGGTGGGAAGCACAAGTAGAGAATACCTTCTGCCTTCCTTCTGCAGAATTTATCTTGAGAATGGAACCAACAATATGAACATAGGAAGCTATAATTAGAAGAAGGGCAGCAAATCCTAATGGCATGCTAAAGGTAAGAATGACCATTTCATTGGCAAAAGTACTAGTGCAAGACAGCTGCAATAGCAGAGGTAACTCACAGCTGAAATGGGTAATGTTACTGGGACCACAGAAGTGTAAGTCAGTTAAAAAAAGGGTATTGACAAGGGAATCCAGGAAACCTGATAGCCAAGCAAACAGTACCATTTGGATGCATAAGCGGTGGTTCATAATGGTGCTGTATCTCAGTGGGTTACATATAGCAGCATAACGATCATATGCCATTGCTGAAAGTAAGAAGATCTCTGTTCCAACCATGAAAATAAAGAAAAAGATCTGAGCTATGCAGCCACAGACAGTAATTGTCTTTTTAGTAGTCAGGAGATTCTGTAGCATTTTGGGAACTGTTACAGAAGAATAGCAGATGTCTATAAAAGATAAGTTAACAAGAAAGAAATACATTGGAGTGTGTAGTTGAGGGTCAGTCCTTATTACCAATATGATTACCATATTACCTACTAAAGTTATTAAGTAGATTGATAAAAAAACCAGGAACAAGAAAACTTGGAATGTTGGATCACCAGAGAATCCCAACAGAAGAAATTCAGTCACAGCAGTTTTGTTTTCCATGGAACATTTCTAAGTGACATTAATTAATTGATTATGTGGCATCAAGTCCTAGCAATCACATAGTTAGCTTTTGTCCATGAATCTTTGTTTCCAGCTTGACCTTTATGTGTTCCAACTGTGCTCCTATAACTATTGTAAGTTCATCCATCTTGCCTCAATGAGATGGTAATCTGAAAAAAAATGTTTATTGATTTTTTTAAAAAAAATATGAACTACCTCTTGTAGCTATTTATTTTGAATAGGTAGCTTGCTAGAGATAGATAGATGATAAATAGGTGTGTGTGTGTGTGTGTGTGTGAGAGAGAGAGAGAGAGAGAGAAAGAGAGAGAGAGAGAGAGGGAGAGAGAGAGAGAGAGAGAATCAATAGCACTTAGACTTATATACTGCTCCACAGTGCTTTACAGCCCTCTCTAAGCAGTTTACAGAGTCAAAATATTGCCCCCCCCCCAAATCTGGATCTTAATTTTACCAACCTCAGAGGCATGGAAGGCTGAGTCACCCATGAGTGAGTGGGAATTGAATTGCTGAACTGCTGGTAACTGGCAGTCAGCAGAAATAGTCTACATTATTGCATTCTATCCACTCCACCTCCACAGCTCATTATGCTAATGGAACAATTTTAATTTCATGAACACAAACTGGTTTTGCAGCAAAATAAAACTAGGCTGCACACTGCAAATGAGGCCACTTTTGTTAACAATTTATATTTCTATTTAACTGGCATTAGATTACAAGGTTGTGATTCTTACGTTTACCTTCTAAAGCAGGGGTGTCAAACTGCTGGCCTGCGGGCCAGATGTGTCATGCCAAAAACGCACCCACCCTATTGCTGGCTATGGAGAAAAAGTCACGATATGTCACAATATGTCATTTTTGAGAGACAAGTTTTTAAAAATAAGGAGCATTTGATCAATGTTGTATAGGCTAAGCAGATTCAGGTTATTACTTGACTAGGAGACTACTGGAACTATAGGATAGACCAGAAAATCAAAAAGCATCCCAGGGGAAAGCTATGGCAAATTGCATCCATATTATTGCCTACAGAACTACATGGATGTGTCCATGAATTCAGAATCTAATCTTGATTTCAAAGAGCTTTTACTTTATTCTGAGAAAAATATAGTTTGTATGTTTTGACAATCTGAAAAATACATCATTAAATGTACATTTAAATACATTTTCACAATTTCACAAATATGAAGTAATAGGATAAATTGATCTATAATTGAACACAAGTGGAATTGTATTGAAAAGAAGCTAATTTGGCATAAAGATAGGCTAAAGCTAATATTCAGAGTTGTATTTAAATGTATATGGTTGCCTACAGATTTTCTTAGATATTTTAGTGGAGAAATGATTCCCTGTATCTTTTTTTTTTCTTGTAAAGTATGGAATACAAGCCATGGTACTACTTGCATTTTAGAAATGGACTACTGACACTTTTAGCTTGAACTAGTATTATCATTTTAATCTTGTTCAATCAGTCAGTGTAATTGTAGCTGAATGCAGCATAGAAACTGTCTGCAACTTCTTAAACCCAATGTGCCTTTTCCAGGATTCTCTTCAAGAAGTGCAAAACAAGTGTCATATGAATGCTCCTGCAATTTACACCTCTACCTGAAAATAATAATAATAATAATAATAATAATAATAACAACAACAACAACAACAACAACAGTTGCAGATCAATGGTGAGAGGCTGGGAGAGGTTAATATCAAGAGAGGAATATTTCAAGGAGATTCATTATCACCATTACTATTTGTTATTGCACTGTTTCCTCTGTCAACAATACTGAATAACTCAGGACATGGCTATCAAACATCAAAAACATCTGCCAGACTATCCCACCTCCTTTACATGGATGATCTGAAGCTGTATGGAAAAACATCATCTGAAATAGAATCGCTGCTCAACACTGTCCGTATATATAGCCAAGATACTGTAATGGAGTTTGGCTTGGACAAATGTGCCACACTTACTATCAAACAAGGAAAAATAGTGAAAACTGAAGGAATCAAGATGCCCCACGAAAATAACATTAAGAGTCTGGATGAGGAAGAGTACTACAAATACTTGGGTATCCTTCAAGCTGACAACATCAAGCACACTGAAGTCAAGAAAAAGATTAGAGGTGAATACATCAAGAGAGTGAAGAAGATCTTAAAATCCAAACTCAATGGAGGAAATACCATAAAGGCAATCAACACCTGGGCAATCCCAGTCATTAGGTACACAGCTGGAATAGTGGACTGGATTCAAGCAGAACTAAAAGCAATGGATAGGCAGACCAGAAAAATAATGACAATGAATCATGCCCTTCATCCACGCAGTGACATTGATAGACTTTATCTACCAAGGCAAATAGGTGGGCGTGGAATGCTACAAGTACATCAGATGGTTGAAGAAGAAAAAATGGCTTTGGAAGAATATCTGAAGAACAATGATGAAGATGCACTGAAATTAGTATATCAGGAAGGCTTACTAACTACTGGAGAGACCAAACTGGCCTACAAGAAAGACCAAATGAAGAACAGAATAGAGGCATGGGAAGACAAAGCACTACATGGCCAATACATGAAAAAAATAGCTGGGAAAGCAGATAATAATAAAACCTGGCAATGGCTAAGAGCAGGAAAATTGAAGAAAGAGACCGAGGGACTAATTCTGGCTGCACAAGACCAAGCCTTAAGGACAAATGCATACAAAGTCAAAATTGAGAAGACAGCAACAGACAGTAAGTGCCGCCTATGCAAAGAAGCTGAAGAAACAGTGGACCACTTGGTAAGCTGTTGCAAGAATATTGCACAAACTGAGTACAAGCAGCAGCATGACAAAGTAGCAACAATGGTGCATTGGAAGATCTGCAAAAAATATCATTTGCCTGTAAGCAAAAACTGGTGGGATCATAAAATAGAGAAAGTCATAGAAAATGATAAAATTAAACTGCTCTGGGACTTCAGAATTCAAACAGACAAGCACCTGCAACATAACACCCCAGACTTAACAATTGTCGATAAGAAAGACAAAAAAGTCTGGATAGTGGACGTGGCAGTGCCTGGAGACAGCAGAATAGAAGAGAAAGAACTGGAGAAGATAACAAAATACAAAGACCTACAAATAGAAATAGAAAGACTGTGGCAAAAGCAAGCAAGGGTAGTACCAATAGTCATAGGCTCCTTGGGTGCAATCCCAAAACAACTGGAGCACCACTTGGCATTGATAAATTTGCTATTAGTCAATTGCAAAAGGCGGCCTTACTAGGAACTGCTTCCATCCTGCGATGATACCTGTAATACCATCAAACATTCACATCTGCCTTTCCCAGGTCCTTGGGAAGGACTCGATAGGTAGACAAAATGCCAAATCCAGTCTGAACATCTGGCTGACTGTGTGATGTTCCATCATCATCATCATCATCATCATCATCATCAAGTCATAGTAATAGTAGTAGTTGGGAGTGACTTTGGAGGTCATCTAGTCCAACCCCCAGCTCAGGCAGGAAACCCTATACCATTTCAGACAAATGGAATAATATTTTGAAACTCAGAATGATGCTATATTGGTTAAAAAGATAACATTCTATAAGAAATGCAGTTGTTTTTTGAACTTTGAATCATAATAGAAAACAGACAAATCTTATCCTTACCTACTTCATTATTCCCTTTTTGGACTAGCATGGGCTCAGCTTTGTAGAAATAAATATTATTTGTACATATAGAGGGAATAATTTCTTTTCTTTTTTTTTAAGGATTGATTGAGAGAGAGAGTGAGAAACAGAGATAGGAAAAAAGAAGTACCTTCATGGGGAAAACACCAGAACAATTATTAGTTAAGAGAGTTGGTATTTTCAAAATAAAACAGAATTAAGTATTATTTCGATTGGGAATTTATTTCCCATTGGATCAATTATCGGAACATATGACTATGTTGGGATTATATTAAACCTGCACACTAGAATTCACATAATAGTTAACACTATTTTCTATTATGGGACAGGGGTGTCTTGAAAGCATTAGAGTGGATCTTGTAAAACAATGAAAATGGATGAATAGTGAAGAAATGACAGAAATTAGAGCAAAGTAGAATGACCGTAGGAATAGAAAATATGAGTCTTATATGAAAAAGTGTGCCCAAATATATTGATCTGCCAAGAGAATGTAAATAAAGTAGATATAAGGAAGATTATACAGAATCTGCTTGAAAGAGACTGAAAATAAATATTGCATATTTTCACAGAAATGTATGGAGTTACAATGATGAGAAGTATGAAAAATACTGCATCCAGTTTTGTTCACCACGATGTAAAAAAGATGTTGAGGCTTTAGAAAGAGTACAGAGAAGAGCAATAAAGATGATTACGGGACTGGAGGCTAAAATATATAAGGAACGGTTGCTGGAATTGGGTACGTCTAGTTTAACGAAGAGAAGGATGGGGCTGGACATGATAGCAATGTTCCAATATCTCAGGGGCTGCCACTAAGAAGAGGGAGTCAAGCTATTCTCCAAAGCACCTGAAGGCAGGACAAGAAGCAACAGATGGAAACTAACCAAAGAGAGAAGCAACCTAGAACTAAGGAGAAATTTCCTGACAGTTAGAACAATTAATCAGTGGAAGAACCTGCCTCCAGAAGTTGTGAATGCTCCAACACTGGAAGTTTTTAAGAAGAGACTGGCATTGGACTAGAAGGGGATTGAACTAGAAGAGGTCCCTTCCAATAGTGTTGTTGTTATTGTTGTTATTTTGTATGATTAAATAAATATACTTAAATTGTGGATTACTTTGCATGGAAGTTGGTCTCTGAATTCAATAAGAATGGAATATTAAAGAATTAAAGCTGGCATGAAAATAAAAACTTAATGGCTCATTTTAAACAGGAACTGTCAGATATTTCTTACCATCCCCTGCAGCTCCGGAGCCTCCTCCGCCATTTGCAGAGAGAGACAAGGAGAGAGAGAGAGGCACGTGCGCTTCCCCTTTCTCTCTCTTTCTCTCTCTCATGCAGACTTAACCCCAAGCAGGGCTCCTGATTGGCCCTGTGCCCGGGTGCCCCGCCCCCTGGCAGAAGGGCAGCCAGGAAGTCCCTTTCCTGGGCTGGCCCTGTCCGATACATACATGGCTGGGGAGCCACATGGGGAAGCCCCGAGATCCCCGCTAAGAGCAGTCTCCACTGCTCCTCCTCCCACAAACCACAGCCCCTGCAATGCCCAGCCAGCACGACTGTTGGCCAAGCAGCACCAGAGGATCAGTGGCAGGGGGAGGGAGGGGGCTCTGAATACGTGGAGCACTGCTGCAAAGCAGCCACAGGACAGGTGGCATACTTCCCCCAGCTTACCTGTACCAGGCACCAGTCCCAGCTGGGGCATTGCTCCCTGGGCTATCCCCAGACCACTCCCTGAGTAGCCGAGCCAGCCATGTGTCTCCTTGGGCCGGGCCGGGTGGCAGTCCCAGCTGGGGTGGCGGCTCGTGGGGCCAGCAGCCGGTGGGGGCTTTGATCCCTGGGCCTTCCAAGGGTCATTCCCTCAGCAGCCAAGCTGGCTGGGCTGGCGGCCAGCAGGGGCATTGATCCTTGGGCTATCCCCAGGTAGCTGAACTGGCCACATGTTTCCCCAGGCCGGGCTGGGTGGCAGTCCCAGCTGGGCCGGTGGCTGGCAGGGGCATCAATCACTGGGCCATCCCCGGGCCACTTCCTCAGCAGCCAAGCCATGCATCTCCCCGGGCCAGGCCAGGCTGGGGCCTGGCTGGGGCAGTGACCGGTGGGGGCATCAAACCCTGGGCCATCCTCAGGCAGCCAAACCAGCCACACATCTCTGCAGGCTGGGCTGGGCAGCAGTCTTGGCTGGGGCGACAACCAGCGGGGACATTGATCCCTGGGCCATCCCCGGGCCACTCCCTCAGCAACTGAGCCTGCCACACATCTCCCCGGGCCAGGCCAAGTGGCAGTCCCAGCTGGGGTGGTGGCTGCCGGGGACATCAATCCCTGGGCTGTCCTCAGGCCACTCCCTGGGTAGCCGAGCTGGCCATGTGTCTCCCTGGGCCAGGCCAGGTTGCAGTCCTGGCTGGAGCGGCAGCCAGCAGGGGCATCGCTCCCTAGGCCATGCCCTGGGCACCTTCTTCTGCCTCCTATCCCCAACGCTTGGCCTTCCCGGGACCTCTTCCCATTTTCCAATGCCCAGAGCAGGAAGGAAGAGCTGCTTTCCGGACATCAAAAGGGGCTCCCCCCTCATAGCCCCCATCCACTGGGGCGAGGGTGGTCCTCTGGACCTGGACCAGGGCTGTGCAAATCACAGCGTGCTTCCTTTCCCGCCACCCAGCATGGCCCAACTCGCCCTCCTGCAGGCCAGCCAGCCAGGGAGGCTGAACGGCCCTGGCGAGAGAGCCGCTCCACCCTGCAGCTGTCTGGCCAGGAATCCCATCCAGCTCGGTGTCTGCCTGACTGCCGCAGGGGTGTCCACATCAGCCTCCTCCTGGTGGGCCCACTAATTGTTGGCTCCCGGCCGGCTTGCTCCATGAGTCAGGCACCCAGGACTGCCCAGAGCTGGCCCTGATTGCACTCCACGAGGACCTGACTGAGCCCCGGCCTGACTTTTGAAACACCACTGGCCTGAATTCTTTCTGAACTGTAAGCTGCCCAGAGTCACTGAAAGAGGC